ATAGTCTGAATGGATGTTTGACGTTAGTGTTGACCCATCAACCCATTGTTAAGTGCACGAAATTTACTGAAAAAGGCTTTGATTACTTTCTGCTATATACCTAACAGCTCATTCTAAACGACCTAAAAATTGCGTTAGATGTTATCCTACAAGGATATTGTTAAAAGTTGTACGAAATTTACTGAAGATGGCTTTGATTTCTTTCTGCTATCTGACAGTTTCTTCTAAACGACCTAAAAATTACGTTTTTACGTTTTTAATTGAAAGATTTCACAACCAAATTACGATTTGCATAAATAAAGTCTTCCATTTTACTGGTCTTCTAGTCATCAAATTTTGGCAACAACTGGCAATTCATCAAGAGCTCTAAAAGCGCATTTAATTTTTCTGCGAAAGAGAGAAAGTTTCCCTGGCTTTCTATAAACAAAAAAAAACTTTTCTCGGTCAATTATTTTTTCATCTTTGTTTCGTTATACAATTGATTCTTTCAATATTTTCCCACAGATATCTACTGCAAAGATCGCAGGTGCATGTTTTCCCAGTGGCGTGAGGGGATGTTTGTTAAATCTCACAGCCTTAAAATATATCAAGGGCGTTAAAAAAAAGTCTTCTTGCTTTTCTTGCTAAATCCTGTAACTATCATTACCCTCCTGTCTCAATTTTCCAGTGGAAAAGACTCGAACATTTTTAACATCCAGTGAAACGGATAAAAGTTTTTTTTCAGTACAAAGACCGCAACGGGTGATACAAATTGTTTGAATGTTAATTCAATTCTCGTGTTTGTCTTTTCCAACGTATTTCATGCAGCGCGGAAGTTTTAATTTTCATCGCTAAGTCATTCGCCACTTTAGAGACGCTGGAGAAGGGAACTGGAGTCGTTTTCATTCGGTCACAAGAGCACGGAAATAAAAAAAAAACGGCGTCTTCATAGATTTTCACTCTGGAAGCGTATTTGAAAAGTTGCGTTTTCGATGACGTTTCATCAGAAAACGTGTGAGCGGAAGGCCAATCCGCATCTGCCTCGTCCCCACTTGTTTTTGGGGATATTTGAGTCCCATCCCGTTATCCCCTTCTCGCGCTTCTCGCTTGATGTACCCAGCTCTCACTTGTTCCATAGACGCCCTATCTCAAATAAACGCCTCCCTTGCGCTTCTTAAGGTTGTTTTAGATGCCTGTCTAATAGATGCTCCCCTCCAAAATACTAGGAGATAGCCAAAAGGAGCAAAATCATTCACTTTAGTCATTTTCTTGCTTGATTAACGAAGGTTGGGCATTGCATCTTGTCCTATGTCAAGAACAAAGAAGGGATAGGGCAACGATGACAGCGAAACGACCCTGAATCACCACCGCGGTCAAACGTCTAAATCGTTATTTTTGTTTTTTATTGCTGCGATTTCATTTACCAGTTAGAGAAAAATGGGCAAAGGTGTATAAATCAGTTAGTCAACATAACTATCTTTCCATTTTTCTCAAAATTGTGAGCTTCTTTCGCTGAAAACGCTTCGCGCTAAAAGAGGATCATGTTTGAAAATGGCGCCGATAATAACGTCAGCATCGGTTTTCAATCACTTAGAACATTTTTAGTAAACTTTTAAAAAGTTTAGTAAACTAACAGGATGTTAGTATTACCTTAGACTTTCGATA